TATTTTTAATCATATCTGAATTTTTTCAAATGGAACGAAGGTGGCTTATTATCATATTTGGAAAAAGCATTTTTTTACGAATAATTTGATATCACGCACTTGGTATTTCGAGTCAAATTTTCGTTTGACTCGAAATACTGCATTGTTGCTGCATGCTGAATGCAGCAACAATGCAGTTATGTTATTTTCTATCGAATAAAACAAAAAAATACCGAGGGAACCATTTAAAAATCAAAAGTTCTAGTCATTTCAGGTGAAACAGCAAGTGACCGAAAACAATTGAATACGTCAATCAATTCTAATATTCATAATTATTAATTCTAAGGTCATATACTAGCATACCAAGTCTCGTTTTTTTATCTGAAAAAATAAAAAAGTTATAGGGGGTGAGCCACTTTTGAGACGCACCCGGTATATTATTGAGATCCAATAAACAGGGTGTCAAAAAATAGAGCATCTAACTTCGGTGGTTGATTATACAGATAAAAATACAACAAAAAGTTCGTATAAACCATAGATTTAAAATGTATGAACATATGCCCTAAAATGCTTCCCAAAGAAGTTATAGCCCTTGAAAAGTCAAATAAAAATAATATATTTTGTTTATTTTTAAGAATATTAATAAACCATTTTTCTTGAAATTTGGTATTCTGGCAGTTTCTGTCTGATTCTTAGTTTTTGACACTCCGTATAAAAGAAACAAAGATTAAACTAGTTAAAATAAAAATTACCTCGAAAATTACAAACAGACAGTCAGAGGCTTGATTTTTGTTGTATTACTAGGACAATAAAAAATATTGAAATTAATGTGGATTCTTGTGGATTGAATTTTTGTGGATTCGTTGGGCTTTTAGGAATTTATTTTATGTTATTACTCGAATTGATCATTTGTAATGGTGATGATAAGCAAAGCAAGAATTTTCATTAACATGCAAACTGGATAACATTTTCTCACATTTATGTCAGCATGAGAAAAAACAATATGACGATATTATTATATAACTTGGTAATATTTGAGGGGTAGTTTCATCTCGTTGGAATTTGACTTCCGAAAAATCCGTTTGGCAAAAATAAGCTTTTTACGTCAAGCAGTTTAAGCAGTATCGTGATTAAGAAATTACCCAATTTTTTGGAACACCCTGTATGATTTTTAAAAAAAATTCAAAATATGTAAAAAAACCAAATAAATTATGCTTGTCCAAGCGTTTTCCCGAAAGACTAACCGTTTTTAAATAACAAATATTGTAATATTTGAGGGGCGTTTTCACCCTCTTGGAATTTGAGATTCGAGAAACCCCTCCTTATCGAACCTCTACACCCCACAGTCAATCCATTTGCCAAAAATCAGCTTTAAACGTCAAGCAGTTTAAGCAGAATCGTGATTACTCAATGGTCATATTTTATGAAACACCCTGTATCAAATTTATAAAAAATGTTAAAATATGTAAAACAACAAAATCAAATATACGTGTTTAAGAGTTTTTCCGAAAAACTCACCGGTTTTTAAATAAAAAATATTTTTATATTTGATGGATAGTTTCACCTCCTTAGAATTCGAGTTTCGAAAAATCCCTTCTTATCGAACCTCCACACCCTAAAATCAATCTGTTTTCCAAAAATCAGCTTTTTACGTCAAGCGCTTTAAGCAGGATCGTGATTAATCAATGACCAGATTTTTCAAAACACCCTGTATACATTTTTAAAAAATATTAAAATATGTAAAAAAACAAAATAAAATATACGTGTTTAAGCGTTTTTTTCGGAAACTTGACCGTTTTTTAAATAAAAAATATTGTAATATTTGAGGGGCGGTTTCACCCTCTTGGAACTGGAATTTCGAAAAATCCCTTCTTATCGAACCTCTAC